CATAGTGTTGTGTGTTCTTCCCAAACAACTCAATCTTGGTTTCAACTGTCCACAGTATATTTTCTGCCAGTAGTGCTGTGGAACATCCAGGTGCTCTTTTGCAAACTTCAAATGTGCTGCAATATTCTTTTTGGACAGCAATGGTTTCCTCCGTGGTGTCCTCCCATGTACTCCATTCTTGTTTAAAATGTTTTCCTTATTGTAGATGTGTCAACAAAAATGTTAGCATGTGCCAGAGATTTCTGTAGGTCTTTAGCTGACACTCTGGGATTCTTCTTTACCTCATGCAGCATTCTGCACTGTGCTCTTGCAGTCATTTTTTACAGGACGACCACGCCTAGGGAGAGTAGCAACAGTGCTAAACTTTCTCCATTTGTAGACAGTCTGTCTTACCGTGGACACAGGAACATCAAGGCTCAAGGAGATACTTTTGTAACCCTTTCCAGCTTCATGCAAGTCAACAATTCTTGATCGTAGGTCTTCTGAGAGCTCTTTTCTGCAAGGCATGGTTCACATCACACAGTGCTTCTTGAAACCAGTAAACCCAAAACAGGTGTGTGTTTTTTAAGGGCAGGACAGCTGTCAGCAACACATCCAATATCATCAAACTGATTGCAGTCAAGGTTGGCTCACTCCTGGCTCCAATTAGCTCTGGGAGAAGTCATTAAGCTAGGGCTTCACATACTTTTTTCCTCCCTGCACTGTGAATGTTTACATGTTATGTGCAATTAAAACCATGGCAACATCTCTAATTTTTGTGTAGTATTATGTTCAGCAGACTGTGTTCTTCTATTGTTGTGACTTAGATGACATTCAGAGCACATTTTATGCCCAATTCATGCAAAACTCCACGTAATCCCAAGGGGTTCACATACTTTTTTCTTGCAACTGTATAATACGTCTTTAACATTATAGAACCACAGAAGTCCAGCCGAATGTGACCAACTACTCCAAGGGCCACCATGACCTGGATCCATGAAACTAACTACTACTACTTAGATATACCATGCTAGATACACCATGACCTGGATCCATGAGACCAGCTACTGCTAGATACACCATGACCTGGATCCATGAGACCAGCTACTGCTAGATGTACCATGACCTGGATCCATGAGACCAGCTACTGCTAGATATACCGTGACCTGGACCCATGAGGCCAACTGCTACTAGATATACCATGACCGGGATACATGAGACCAGCTACTGCTAGATACACCATGACCTGGATCAATGAGACCAACTACTATTAGATACACCATGACCTGAATGCATGAGACCAACTACTACTAGATCTACTATGACCTGGATCCATGAGACCAACTACTAGATCTACCATAACTGGGATGCACAAGATAAAGTACTGCTAGATACACCATGACCTGGATCCATGAGACCAACTACAACTAGATACACCATGACCTGGATCCATGAGACCAACTACTACTAGATCTACCATGACCTGGATCCATGAGACCAACTACGGCTAGATACACCATGACCTGGATCCATGAGACCAACTACGACTAGATACACCATGACCTGGATCCATGAGACCAACTACGACTAGATACACCATGACCTGGATCCATGAGACCAACTACTACTAGATACACCATGACCTGGATCCATGAGACCAACTACGACTAGATACACAATGACCTGGATCCATGAGACCAACTACGACTAGATACACCATGACCTGGATCCATGAGACCAACTACTACTAGATACACCATGACCTGGATCCATGAGACCAACTACGACTAGATACACCAATGACCTGGATCCATGAGACCAACTACGACTAGATACACCATGACCTGGATCCATGAGACCAACTACTACTAGATACACCATGACCTGGATCCATGAGACCAACTACGACTAGATACACCATGACCTGGATCCATGAGTCCAACTACTACTAGATACACCATGACCTGGATCCATGAAAGTAACTACTACTAGATATACCATGACCTGGATCCACGAGACCAACTACGACTAGATACACCATGACCTGGATCCATGAGTCCAACTACTACTAGATGTGCCATGACCTGGATCCATGAAAGTAACTACTACTAGATCCACCATGACCTGGATCCATGAGACCAACTACTACTAGATATACCATGACCTGCATCCATGAGACCAACTACTACTAGATACACCATGACTGGGATCCTTGAGACCAACTACTACTAGATTACACCATGACCTGGATCCATGAGACCAGCTACTGCTAGATGTACCATGACCTGGATCCATGAGACCAGCTACTGCTAGATATACCGTGACCTGGACCCATGTGGCCAACTACTACTAGATACACCATGACCTGGATCCATGAGACCAACTACTACTAGATACACCATGACCTGGATCCATGAAAGTAACTACTACTAGATATACCATGACCTGGATCCACGAGACCAACTACGACTAGATACACCATGACCTGGATCCATGAGTCCAACTACTACTAGATGTGCCATGACCTGGATCCATGAAAGTAACTACTACTAGATCCACCATGACCTGGATCCATGAGACCAACTACTACTAGATATACCATGACCTGCATCCATGAGACCAACTACTACTAGATACACCATGACTGGGATCCTTGAGACCAACTACTACTAGATACACCATGACCTGGATCCATGAGACCAGCTACTGCTAGATGTACCATGACCTGGATCCATGAGACCAGCTACTGCTAGATATACCGTGACCTGGACCCATGAGGCCAACTACTACTAGATATACCATGACCGGGATACATGAGACCAGCTACTGCTAGATACACCATGACCTGGATCAATGAGACCAACTATTAGATACACCATGACCTGAATGCATGAGACCAACTACTACTAGATCTACTATGACCTGGATCCATGAGACCAACTACTAGATCTACCATAACTGGGATGCACAAGATAAAGTACTGCTAGATACACCATGACCTGGATCCATGAGACCAACTACAACTAGATACACCATGACCTGGATCCATGAGACCAACTACTACTAGATATACCATGACCTGGATCCATGAGACCAACTACTACTAGATCTACCATGACCTGGATCCATGAGACCAACTACGGCTAGATACACCATGACCTGGATCCATGAGACCAACTACGACTAGATACACCATGACCTGGATCCATGAGAGACCAACTACGACTAGATACACCATGACCTGGATCCATGAGACCAACTACGACTAGATACACAATGACCTGGATCCATGAGACCAACTACGACTAGATACACCATGACCTGGATCCATGAGACCAACTACTACTGGATACACCATGACCTGGATCCATGAGACCAACTACGACTAGATACACAATGACCTGGATCCATGAGACCAACTACTACTAGATACACCATGACCTGGATCCATGAGACAAACTACGACTAGATACACCATGACCTGGATCCATGAGACCAACTACTACTAGATACACCATGACCTGGATCCATGAGACCAACTACTACTGGATACACCATGACCTGGATCCATGAGACCAACTACGACTAGATACACAATGACCTGGATCCATGAGACCAACTACTACTAGATACACCATGACCTGGATCCATGAGACAAACTACGACTAGATACACCATGACCTGGATCCATGAGACCAACTACTACTAGATACACTCCCCCATGACCTGGATCCATGAAAGTAACTACTACTAGATGTGCCATGACCTGGATCCATGAAAGTAACTACTACTAGATATACCATGACCTGGATCCATGAGACCAACTACGACTAGATACACCATGACCTGGATCCATGAGTCCAACTACTACTAGATGTGCCATGACCTGGATCCATGAAAGTAACTACTACTAGATCCACCATGACCTGGATCCATGAGACCAACTACTACTAGATATACCATGACCTGGATCCATGAGACCAACTACTACTAGATATACCATGACCTGCATCCATGAGACCAACTACTACTAGATACACCATGACTGGGATCCTTGAGACCAACTACTACTAGATATACCATGACCTGGATCCATGAGACCAACTACTACTAGATATACCATGACCTGGATCCATGAGCCCAGCTACTACTAGATAGACCATGACCTGCCATCCATGAGACCAAATACTGCTAGATACACCATGACCTGGATCCATGAGGTCAACTACTGCTAGATACACCATGACCTGGATCCATGAGGTCAACTACTGCTAGATACACCATGACCTGGATCCATGAGACCAACTACTACTAGATACACCCATGACCTGGATCCATGAGACAAGCTACTGCTAGATCTACCATGACCTGGATCCATGAGACCAACTACTACTAGATACACCATGACCTGGATCCATGAGACAAGCTACTGCTAGATACACCATGACCTGGATCCATGAGACCAGCTACTGCTAGATATACCGTGACCTGGACCCATGAGGCCAACTACTACTAGATACACCATGACCTGGATCCATGAGACCAACTACTACTAGATACACCATGACCTGGATCCATGAGACCAACTACTACTAGATACACCATGACCTGGACCCATGAGGCCAACTACTGCTAGATACACCATGACCTGGACCCATGAGGCCAACTACTGCTAGATATACCGTGACCTGGACCCATGAGGCCAACTACTACTAGATACACCATGACCTGGACCCATGAGGCCAACTACTGCTAGATACACCATGACCTGGATTCTTGAGACCAACTACTACTAGATACACCATGACCTGGATCCATGAGATCAACTACTACTAGATACACCATGACCTGGATCCATGAACACCATCACAGACATCAGAGAACTGTGGTATATTACTAAGAAGGTGTAGAGAGGTCCTCACAATGCTCGGCGCCCCCATTAATAGTATATATGCTGCGCTTTCCATTGTAGGACGCTTTGTGTCTCTAGGTTTGTCCTCTTATGTCATTTCTGTATTTTCTAGTGAGAAAGGATTGCTGTCTCCAGTAAGCGGGGATGAAATCAGGTCAGTCATTTGTATCATTCCATAGAGAACAGTCAGACGCAACTGCTGAACCGATATTCGTGCATCTGACATTGTACTATGGATGACATCTGCTGTGTGTGCCCTTCTCTGTCCTCCATCACCATGTAGATCAGACATGACGTTCAGTAGTCTCTGCCCTCCATGGGGCTGTATGTTGTCTCTGTCCTCCATGGGGCTGTATGTTGTCCTCTGTCTTCCATGGGGCTGTATGTTGTCTCTGCCCTCCATGGGCTGTATGTTGTCTCTGCCCTCCATGGGGCTGTATGTTGTCTCTGCCCTCCATGGGGCTGTATGTTGTCTCTGCCCTCCATGGGGGCTGTATGTTGTCTCTGCCCTCCATGGGGCTGTATGTTGTCTCTGTCCTCTATGGGGTGGTATGTTGTCTCTGCCCTCCATGGGGCTGTATGTTGTCTCTGCCCTCCATGGGGCTGTATGTTGTCTCTGCCCTCCATGGGGCTGTATGTTGTCTCTGCCCTCCATGGGGCTGTATGTTTGTCTCTGTCCTTCATGGGGCTGTATGTTGTCTCTGTCCTCCATGGGGCTGTATGTTGTCTCTGCCCTCCATGGGGCTGTATGTTGTCTCTGCCCTCCATGGGGCTGTATGTTGTCTCTGTCCTCCATGGGGCGGTATGTGTTGTCTCTGCCCTCCATGGAGCTGTATGTTTTTCTCTGCCCTCCATGGGGCTGTATGTTGTCTCTGCCCTCCATGGGGCGGTATGTTGTCTCTGTCCTCCATGGGGCTGTATGTTGTCTCTGCCCTCCATGGGGCTGTATGTTGTCTCTGTCCTTCATGGGGCTGTATGTTGTCTCTGTCCTCCATGGGGCTGTATGTGGTCTCTGCCCTCCATGGGGCTGTATGTTGTCTCTGCCCTCCATGGGGCTCTATGTGGTCTCTGCCCTCCATGGGGCTGTATGTGGGTCTCTGACCTCCATGGAGCTGTATGTTGACTCTGTCCTCCATGGGGCTGTATGTTGTCTCTGCCCTCCATGGGGCTGTATGTTGTCTCTGCCCTCCATGGGGCGGTATGTTGTCTCTGCCCTCCATGGGGCTGTATGTTGTCTCTGCCCTCCATGGGGCTGTATGTTGTCTCTGCCCTCCATGGGGGCTGTATGTTGTCTCTGCCCTCCATGGGGCTGTATGTTGTCTCTGCCCTCCATGGGGCTGTATCTTGTCTCTGTCTTCCATGGGGCTGTATGTTGTCTCTGCCCTCCATGGGGCTGTATGTTGTCTCTGCCCTCCATGGGGCTGTATGTTGTCTCCTCTGCCCTCCATGGGGCTGTATGTTGTCTCTGCCCTCCATGGGGCGGTATGTTGTCTCTGCCCTCCATGGGGCTGTATGTTGTCTCTGCCCTCCATGGGGCTGTATGTTGTCTCTGCCCTCCATGGGGCTGTATGTTGTCTCTGCCCTCCATGGGGCTGTATGTTGTCTCTGCCCTCCATGGGGCTGTATGTTGTCTCTGCCCTCCATGGGGCTGTATGTTGTCTCTGCCCTCCATGGGGCTGTATGTTGTCTCTGCCCTCCATGGGGCTGTATGTTGTCTCTGCCCTCCATGGGGCTGTATCTTGTCTCTGTCCTCCATGGGGCTGTATGTTGTCCCAGCCCTCCATGGGGCTGTATGTTGTCTCTGCCCTCCATGGGGCTGTATGTTGTCTCTGCCCTCCATGGGGCTGTATGTTGTCTCTGCCCTCCATGGGGCTGTATCTTGTCTCTGTCCTCCATGGGGCTGTATGTTTGTCCCAGCCCTCCATGGGGCTGTATGATGTCTCTGCCCTCCATGGGGCTGTATGTTGTCTCTGCCCTCCATGGGGCTGTATGTTGTCTCTGCCCTCCATGGGGCTGTATGTTGTCTCTGCCCTCCATGGGGCTGTATCTTGTCTCTGTCCTCCATGGGGCTGTATCTTGTCTCTGACCTCCATGGGGCTGTATGTTGTCTCTGTCCTCCATGGGGCTGTATGTTGTCTCTGTCCTCCATGGGGCTGTATGTTGTCTCTGTCCTCCATGGGGCTGTATGTTGTCTCTGCCCTCCATGGGGCTGTATGTTGTCCCAGCCCTCCATGGGGCTGTATGTTGTCTCTGCCCTCCATGGGGCTGTATGTTGTCTCTGCCCTCCATGGGGCTGTATGTTGTCTCTGCCCTCCCATGGGGCTGTATCTTGTCTCTGTCCTCCATGGGGCTGTATCTTGTCTCTGACCTCCATGGGGCTGTATGTTGTCTCTGTCCTCCATGGGGCTGTATGTTGTCTCTGTCCTCCATGGGGCTGTATGTTGTCTCTGTCCTCCATGGGGCTGTATGTTGTCTCTGCCCTCCATGGGGCTGTATGTTGTCTCTGTCCTCCATGGGGCTGTATGTTGTCTCTGTCCTCCATGGGGCTGTATGTTGTCTCTGCCCTCCATGGGGGGCTGTATGTTGTCTCTGCCCTCCATGGGGCTGTATGTTGTCTCTGCCCTCCATGGGGCTGTATGTTGTCTCTGCCCTCCATGGGCTGTATGTTGTCTCTGCCCTCCATGGGGCTGTATGTTGTCTTTGCCCTCCATGGGGCTGTATGTTGTCTCTGCCCTCCATGGGGCTGTATGTTGTCCTGCCCTCCATGGGGCTGTATGATGTCTCTGCCCTCCATGGGGCTGTATGTTGTCTCTGCCCTCCATGGGGCTGTGTGTTGTCTCTGCCCTCCATGGGGCTGTATCTTGTCTCTGCCCTCCATGGGGCTGTATCTTGTCTCTGTCCTCCATGGGGCTGTATCTTGTCTCTGACCTCCATGGGGCTGTATCTTGTCTCTGTCCTCCATGGGGCTGTATGTTGTCTCTGTCCTCCATGGGGCTGTATGTTGTCTCTGTCCTCCATGGGGCTGTATGTTGTCTCTGCCCTCCATGGGGCTGTATGTTGTCCCTGCCCTCCATGGGGCTGTATGTTGTCTCTCTGCCCTCCATGGGGCTGTATGTTGTCTCTCTGTCCTCCATGGGGCTGTATGTTGTCTCTGCCCTCCATGGGGCTGTATGTTGTCTCTGCCCTCCATGGGGCTGTATGTTGTCTCTGTCCTCCATGGGGCTGTATCTTGTCTCTGACCTCCATGGGGCTGTATGTTGTCTCTGTCCTCCATGGGGCTGTATGTTGTCTCTGTCCTCCATGGGGCTGTATGTTGTCTCTGCCCTCCATGGGGCTGTATGTTGTCTCTGCCCTCCATGGGGCTGTATGTTGTCTCTGTCCTCCATGGGGCTGTATGTTGTCTCTGTCCTCCATGGGGCTGTATGTTGTCTCTGCCCTCCATGGGGCTGTATGTTGTCTCTGCCCTCCATGGGGCTGTATGTTGTCTCTGCCCTCCATGGGGCTGTATCTTGTCTCTGTCCTCCATGGGGCTGTATCTTGTCTCTGACCTCCATGGGGCTGTATGTTGTCTCTGTCCTCCATGGGGCTGTATGTTGTCTCTGTCCTCCATGGGGCTGTATGTTGTCTCTGCCCTCCATGGGGCGGTATGTTGTCTCTGCCCTCCATGGGGCTGTATGTTGTCTCTGCCCTCCATGGGGCTGTATGTTGTCTCTGACCTCCATGGGGCTGTATGTTGTCTCTGTCCTCCATGGGGCTGTATGTTGTCTCTGTCCTCCATGGGGCTGTATGTTGTCTCTGTCCTCCATGGGGCTGTATGTTGTCTCTGCCCTCCATGGGGCTGTATGTTGTCTCTGCCCTCCATGGGGCTGTATGTTGTCTCTGATGAGATCTCACATTGTGTGTTTGGTGTCCCCAGCTGTCAATATGCCGGTCCCATGGCACGAGATGTGGACAGCCTGGCCCTGTTTATGAGAGCCGTGCTCTGCGATGAGCTGTTCCAGTTGGACCCGACCATCCCCCCGATACCATTCAGAGACGAGGTACGAACCACCATTGCCTAACCTGGAACCTCTGCTGTGAGGTTCTCTCTGGATCCAGGATGTCTACGTTGTGCTCCATGAACTCTCATACAGTATGTCCTGCATTGTGTCTCCTCTGGGGCCCCTGTCCTCTATGACATGTCTCCTCTGGGGCCCCTGTCCTCTATGACATGTCTCCTCTGGGGCCCTGTCCTCTGACATGTCTCCTCTGGGCCCCAGTCCTCTATGACATGTCTCCCCTGGGGCCCCAGTCCTCTATGACATGTCTCCCCTGGGGCCCCTGTCCTCTATGACATGTCTCCTCTGGGGCCCCTGTCCTCTATGACATGTCTCCTCTGGGGCCCCTGTCCTCTATGACATGTCTCCCCTGGGGCCCCTGTCCTCTATGACATGTCTCCCCTGGGGCTCCTGTCCTCTATGACATGTCTCCCCTGGGGCCCCTGTCCTCTATGACATGTCTTCTCTGGGGCCCCTGTCCTCTATGACATGTCTCCTCTGGGGCCCCAGTCCTCTATGACATGTCTCCCCTGGGGCTCTGTCCTCTATGACATGTCTCCCCTGGGGCCCCTGTCCTATATGACGTGTCTCCCCTGGGGCCCCTGTCCTATATGACATGTCTCCCCTGGGGCCCCTGTCCTATATGACATGTCTCCCCTGGGGCCCCTGTCCTATATGACAATGTCTCCCCTGGGGCCCCTGTCCTATATGACATGTCTCCCCTGGGGCCTCTGTCCTATATGACATGTCTCCCCCTGGGGCCCCTGTCCTATATGACGTCTCCCCTGGGGCCCCTGTCCTATATGACGTCTCCCCTGGGGCCCCTGTCCTATATGACGTCTCCCCTGGGGCCCCTGTCCTATATGACATGTCTCCCCTGGGGCCCCTGTCCTATATGACGTGTCTCCCCTGGGGCCCCTGTCCTATATGACATGTCTCCCCTGGGGCCCCCTGTCCTATATGACGTGTCTCCCCTGGGGCTGCCCCTGTCCTATATGACGTGTCTCCCCTGGGGCCCCTGTCCTATATGACGTGTCTCCCCTGGGGCCCCTGTCCTATATGACGTGTCTCCCCTGGGGCCCCTGTCCTATATGACGTGTCTCCCCTGGGGCCCCAGTCCTCTATGACGTGTCTCCCCTGGGGCCCCTGTCCTATATGACGTGTCCCCCCTGGGGCCCCTGTCCTCTATGACATGTCTCCCCTGGGGCCCCTGTCCTCTATGATATGTCTTCTCTGGGACCCCTGTCCTCTATGACATGTCTCCCCTGGGGCCCCTGTCCTCTATGACATGTCTCCTCTGGGGCCCCTGTCCTCTATGACATGTCTCCTATGGGGCCCCTCTCATTCCTTGTTCTTTGAAGCAGGGATAATACTCCCCATACTTTCCTCACCAGTAATCTGGCCCCACCCAGGCACAATCTGGTGTCACCTCCCATGAGGAGCAGATATGGCCGATTTCTGGTATTTCTCGTTTTCTCCTTACAGATCTATAAATCCACAAAGCGCCTGACCATTGGATTCTATGACACCGATGGATATTTCCTCCCTCATCCGAGTGCGAGGCGAGCAATCCAAGAAACCAAAGCCCTCCTGGAAGAGGCGGGACACAAGGTGGGGCCCCGAGAACGGCTCCTAGGGGGGGGAGGGGGTGGGGGGGGAGTGGGGGGTGGAGGAGGGGGGGGGGGGGGGGGGGGGGGGGGGGTGAGGGGGGGGGGGGGGGACAGGGGTGGGGGGGGGGGGGGGGGGGGGGGGGGGGGGGGGAGGGGGGGGGGGGGGGGGGGGGGGGGGGGGGGGGGGGGGGGGGGGGGGGGGGGGGGGGGGGGGGGGGGGGGGGGGGGGAGGGGGGGGGGGGGGGGGGGGGGGGGGGGGGGGGGGGGGGGGGGGGGGGGGGGGGGGGGGGGGGGGGGGGGGGGGGGGGGGGGGGGGGGGGGGGGGGGGGGGGGGGGGGGGGGGGGGGGGTGGGGGGGGGGGGGGGGGGGGGGGGGGGGGGGGGGGGGGGGGGGGGGGAGGGGGGGGGGGGGGGGGGGGGGGGGGGGGGGGGGGGGGGGGGGGGGGTGGGGGGGGGGGGGGGGGGGGGGGGGGGGGGGGGGGGGGGGGGGGGGGGGGGGGGGGGGGGGGGGGGGGGGGGGGGGGGGGGGGGGGGGGGGGGGGGGGGGGGGGGGGGGGGGGGGGGGGGGGGGGGGGGGGGGGGGGGGGGGGGTGTGGGGGGGGGGGGGGGGGGGGGGGGGGGGGGGGGGGGGGTTGGGGGGGGGGGGGGGGGGGGGGGGGGGGGGGGGGGGGGGGGGGGGGGGGGGGGGGGGGGGGGGGGGGGGGGGGGGGGGGGGGGGGGGGGGGGGGGGGGGGGGGGGAGGGGGGGGGGGGGGGGGGGGGGGGGGGGGGGGGGGGGGGGGGGGGGGGGGGGGGGGGGGGGGGGGGGGGGGGGGGGGGGGGGGGGGGGGGGGGGGGGGGGGGGGGGGGGGGGGGGGGGGGGGGGGGGGGGGGGGGGGGGGGGGGGGGGGGGGGGGGGGGGGGGGGGGGGGGGGGGGGGGGGGGGGGGGGGGGGGGGGGGGGGGGGGGGGGGGGGGGGGGGGGGGGGGGGGGGGGGGGGGGGGGGGGGGGGGGGGGGGGGGGGGGGGGGGGGGGGGGGGGGGGGGGGGGGGGGGGGGGGGGGGGGGGGGGGGGGGGGGGGGGGGGGGGAGGGGGGGGAGCTCTGCATTCGCGGATTCTTCGCTGACGGGGGCAAGACTCTGGCAGAGAAATTGTGAGTTGATGGGTGTGTCAGTGTTATATACTGTATATAGGGGTGTCAGTGTATATAGTTATAGGGGGGTGTCAGTGTATATAGGGGTGTCAGTGTGTATATAGGGGTGTCAGTGTATATAGGGGTGTCAGTGTATATACTGTATATAGGGGTGTCAGTGTATATAGTATATAGGGGTGTCAGTGTATATAGGGGTGTCAGTGTATATAGGGGTGTCAGTGTATATACTGTATATAGGGGTGTCAGTGTATATAGGGGTGTCAGTGTATATACTGTATATAGGGGGGTGTCAGTGTATATAGGGGTGTCAGTGTATATACTGTATATAGGGGTGTCAGTGTATATAGGGGTGTCAGTGTATATAGGGGTGTCAGTGTATATACTGTATATAGGGTGTCAGTGTATATAGGGGTGTCAGTGTATATACTGTATATAGGGGTGTCAGTGTATATATAGGGGTGTCAGTGTATATACTGTATATAGGGGGGGTGTCAGTGTATATAGGGGTGTCAGTGTGTATATAGGGGTGTCAGTGTATATACTGTATAGGGGTGTCAGTGTATATAGGGGTGTCAGTGTATATAGGGGTGTCAGTGTATATACTGTATATAGGGGTGTCAGTGTATATAGGGGTGTCAGTGTATATACTGTATATAGGGGTGTCAGTGTATATAGTATATAGGGGTGTCAGTGTATATAGGGGTGTCAGTGTATATAGGGGTGTCAGTGTATATACTGTATATAGGGGTGTCAGTGTATATAGGGGTGTCAGTGTATATACTGTATATAGGGGTGTCAGTGTATATAGGGGTGTCAGTGTATATACTGTATATAGGGGTGTCAGTGTATATAGGGGTGTCAGTGTATATACTGTATATAGGGGTGTCAGTGTATATAGGGGTGTCAGTGTATATACTGTATATAGGGGTGTCAGTGTATATACTGTATATAGGGGTGTCAGTGTATATAGTTATATAGGGGTGTCAGTGTATATAGTATATAGGGGTGTCAGTGTATATAGGGGTGTCAGTGTATATAGTATATAGGGGTGTCAGTGTATATAGGGGTGTCAGTGTATATACTGTATATAGGGGTGTCAGTGTATATACTATATATAGGGGTGTCAGTGTATATAGTATATAGGGGTGTCAGTGTATATAGGGGGTGTCAGTGTATATACTGTATATAGGGGTGTCAGTGTATATAGGGTGTCAGTGTATATACTGTATATAGGGGTGTGTCAGTGTATATAGGGGTGTCAGTGTATATACTGTATATAGGGGTGTCAGTGTATATAGGGGTGTCAGTGTATATACTGTATATAGGGGTGTCAGTGTATATACTGTATATAGGGGTGTCAGTGTATATAGGGGTGTCAGTGTATATACTGTATATAGGGGGTGTCAGTGTATATAGTATATAGGGGTGTCAGTGTATATAGGGGTGTCAGTGTATATAGGGGTGTCAGTGTATATAGGGGTGTCAGTGTATATACTGTATATAGGGGTGTCAGTGTATATAGGGGTGTCAGTGTATATAGGGGTGTCAGTGTATATACTGTATATAGGGGTGTCAGTGTATATAGGGGTGTCAGTGTATATAGGGGTGTCAGTGTATATAGTATATAGGGGTGTCAGTGTATATAGGGGTGTCAGTGTATATAGGGGTGTCAGTGTATATACTGTATATAGGGGTGTCAGTGTATATAGGGGTGTCAGTGTATATAGGGGTGTCAGTGTATATACTGTATATATAGGGTGTCAGTGTATATAGGGGTGTCAGTGTATATAGGGGTGTCAGTGTATATAGGGGTGTCAGTGTTTGTATATACAGTACACGGCTCCACCAATGACAGGAAGACTCTGAGAACCCATCAGATCCCAATGGGGAGGATCTCCTGCTGGATCTCTATACTGACATGGACGGGGGATGGGTGATGGGGGGACGCCCCATCATTGGATGGAAATGATCGCCCTACAGAGGACTGAATTCACAGACAACCCAAAAACCAAAGTGAAGAAATGATGCAGCAGGAGAGTCCATGTTGGTGAAATGTCATTGCAGCAACTCAGAATGGCCCTCAGTAGTCTGTGTGGCCCCCACGTTCTTGTATGCATGCCTGACAACGTCGGGGGAGGGTCCTAATGAGACCACGGATGGTGTCCTGGGGGATTTCCTCCCAGATCTGGACCAGGACATCACTGAGCTCCTGGACAGTCTGAGGTGCAACCAGGTGGCGTCGGATGGACCGAAACATGACATCCCAGAGGGGTTCTATTGGATTTAGGTCAGGTGAGTGTGGGGGCCATTCAATGGGATCAATTCCTTCATCCTCCAGGAACTGCCTGCGTACTCTCCCCACATGAGGCCGGGCATTGTCTGCACCAGGAGGAACCCGGGACCTACCGCACCAGGAGGAACCCGGGACCCCCTGCACCAGGAGGAACCCGGGACCCCCTGCACCAGGAGGAACCCGGGACCCCCCCGCACCAGGAGGAAACCCGGGACCCCCCGCACCAGGAGGAACCCGGGACCCCCCGCACCAGGAGGAACCCGGGACCCCCCGCACCAGGAGGAACCCGGGACCCACCGCACCAGGAGGAACCCGGGACCCCCCGCACCAGGAGGAACCCGGGACCCACCGCACCAGGAGGAACCCGGGACCCACCGCACCAGGAGGAACCCGGGACCCACCGCACCAGGAGGAACCCAGGACCCACCACACCAGGAGGAACCCGGGACCCCCTGCACCATCGTACAGTCTGACAATGGGTCCAAGGATTTCCTCCCATACCTAATGGCATTTCAGGGGGCCATTGTCTAGCCTGTAGAGGTCTGTGTCCCCCTCCATGGAGATGCCCCCCCAGACCATCACTGACCCACCACCATATCGGTCATACTGAACCATGTTACAGGCAGCAGAACGTTCTCCACGGCTTCTCCAGACCCTTTCATGTCTGTCACATGTGCTCAGGGTGAACCTGCTCTCATCTGTGACAAGAACAGGGTGCCAGTGGTGGACCTGCCAATTCTGGGGTTCAATGGCAAATGCCAATCCAGCTCTATGGTGCCGGGCAGTGAGCACAGGGCCCACTAGAGGATGTCGGGCCCTCAGGCCACCCTCATGAAGTCTGTTTCTGATTGTTTGGTCAGAGACATTCCCACCAGTGGCCTGCTGGAGGTCATTTTGTAGGGCTCTGGCAGGGCTCATCCTGTTCCTCCTTGTACAAAGGAGCAAATACCGGTCCTGCTGATGGGTTTAAGGACCTTCTATGGTCCTGTCCAGCCCTCCTAGAGGAACTGCCTGTCTCCTGGAATCTCCTCCGCGCTCTCGTCTCCCGGAATCTCCTCCATGCTCTTGAGACTGTGCTGGGAGACACAGCAAACCTTCTGGTAATGGTAGGTATTGATGTGCCATCCTGGAGGAGTTGGACTGCCTGTACAACCTCTGTAGGGTCCAGGTATGGCCTCATGCTACCAGTAGTGGACAACCGACCCGAGCCAAATGCAACACGAGTGTGAAAACAGTCAGAAAAGATGAGGAGGGAAAACAGTGTCAGTGTGTCCTCCATCTGTAAAACAATTCCTGTTTTGGGGGGTCGTCTCATTGTTGCCCATCTAGTGCACCTGTTGGTAATTTCATGACCACCAAAGCAGCTGAAACTGATGAACAACCCCCTCTGCGACTTACCTGACCAGATCCTCTGCGACTCCCCCCTGACCAGATCCTCTGCTACTTACCTGACCAGATCCATATCCCCGGAGAGAGAAACGACTCGGATTACAAAGTCGTCCTGTCATTGGTCGGAGCCGTGTAATATAAGGGGGTGTCGGTGTATATAGTATACGGGGGGTGTCGGTGTATATAGTATACGGGGGGTGTCGGTGTATATAGTATACGGGGGTGTCGGTGTATATAGTATACGGGGGTGTCGGGTGTATATAGTATACGGGGGGTGTCGGTCGGTATATAGTATACGGGGGTGTCGGTGTATATAGTATACGGGGGTGTCAGTGTATACAGTATACGGGGGGTGTCGGTGTATACAGTTATAGGGGGGGGGTGTCGGTGTATATAGTATACGGGGGTGTCAGTGTATACAGTATACAAGTATACGGGGGTGTCGGTGTATACAGTATACGGGGGGTGTCGGGTGTATATAGTATACGGGGGTGTCAGTGTATATAGTATACGGGGGGTGTCAGTGTATACAGTATACGGGGGGTGTCGGTGTATATAGTATACAGGGGTGTCGGAGTATACGGGGGTGTCGGTGTATACAGTTATACGGCGGGGTGTCGGTGTATATAGTATACGGGGGTGTCAGTGTATACAGTATACGGGGGGTGTCGGAGTATACGGGGGGTGTCGGTGTATACAGTATACGGGGGTGTTGGTGTATATAGTATACGGGGGTGTCAGTGTATACAGTATACGGGGGGTGTCGGAGTATACGGGGGTGTCGGTGTATACAGTATAAAATACGGGGGGTGTAGGAGTATATAGTATACGGGGGTGTCGGAGTATAACGGTGTCGGAGTATAATAGTGCATGTCTATACGGGGGTGTCGGTGTATATAGTATACGGGGGTGTCGGTGTATATAGTATACGGGGGTGTCGGTGGTATATAGTATACGGGGGTGTCGGAGTATATAGTATACGGGGGTGTCGGAGTATATAGTATACGGGGGTGTCGGTGTATATAGTATACGGGGGGTGTCGGAGTATATAGTATACGGGGGTGTCGGTGTATATAGTATACGGGGGTGTCGGAGTATATGGGGGTGTCGGTAGTATATAGTATACGGGGGGGTGTCGGATTACGGATTTTACAGAGGTGTCGGAGTATACGGGGGTGTCGGTGTATACAGTATACGGGGGTGTCGGAGTATACGGGGGTGTCGGTGTATACAGTATACGGGGGTGTCGGAGTATACGGGGGTGTCGGTGTATATACAGTATACGGGGTGTGTCGGAGTATACGGGGGGTCGGGTGTCGGTGTATACAGTATACGGGGGTGTCGGAGTATACGAGGGTGTCGGTGGTATACGGGGGGGTTGTCGGAGTATACGGGGGTGTCGGAGTATACGACGGAGGGTGT